CTCCCGGAAAGCCCCTCATCTTCCCTCACGCCTAGTTGCACTCACCGAATTATTGCTATCTTTATCCCTCGACGTAATCTTGGCCAACTTTTTTTTGCTTGTTAGGTCGCTCCCCGTCAGTGGAATGAGGCAGCCTGCTTAACGTGCTAAATTTTTATACGTTTTTTGCAGCTACGCAATGCGGAAAACCCACATTGACGAGAGATTGTCTGTGTCTCTGTGTGTGTTTCTGTGTCTATGTGAGCAGGTCCTCTGTGCCGATTTTTCATCTCGAGACCTACAAAAGCTACAGGGCTGAAACTTTGGGAACCTAATCTACTTGCACGTGCGGGCCCCCGTCCCTAAGATGGGCGGTCTTACCCGCGTGGTACCCACGTAAGAGTCCGCCAAAATTTTTTACGGGTGAGATGCTAACTCGCCAACCAGAAAAGCTAGAAAGCTGGAATTTTAAGGGGATTTTCCCCGTCTAAGTAGGTATTAGTGAGATCAAAACCAGCCCCTGGGTAAGCGTGGTACCCGCGTACGGGCCCGCCAAAGTTTTTTTCCGGTAAATTGATAATTGGAGAACCTGAAAAGCTAAAAGACTGTAATATTAAGAGGGTGTTCCCCGTCCAAATCAGCCTCAGTGAGCTCAAACCCAGCCCTCGGTCATGCGTGGTACCCGCGTACGGGCCCGTGAAAGTTTTCTTCCAGTAAGTTGCTAACTCAAGAGCCAGGAAAACTGGAAAGTTGAAGTTTTAAGGGGGTGTTTCCTGCCGTTCTGACGGCTAGTCTTAATTTGTTTAGCTAGAATCATTTGCCAAAAAAACCGATGCCGATAGCGACAAAAATTGTAGGGAACTATGCAAAAAATGCATCTTCGCACTGTCAGCCCGTGCGTTGGCCAATAATTGAATTGTGTGCCAAAACAGCATGAACAAAGCAGAGATATAACAGTCATGGAATACCTTTGGACAAAAAATGTGCGCTTTTCCCACATACTATTTTGCGTAATCATTGCATTTGGCATATTTCCGTGGCATTACTGCGTAGTCTACAGGAATATTTAGCGTTTTAGGATCTACCCTTAAAAGAGGACGTCGGCTGGTGTTGTTTTGCCCGCAGAACACCTTGACATGCTTTCCAGTTCATATCACTGAAGAATGACCACTGGGCCATTTCAAAAGTGGTCTCTGGCCCAGGCAGAGCCGCCCTCTGAAAATTGTTATGGAGCGAAAGGGAGTTGTACTACACCACCGTCCGTTGGTATAGCCCTAATGCCGTGGAAGTAGCGCAATTTCTCTGCTTATAAATCCTAGCTTACCAGCTTTCTGCAAAACTTGCTGTACTATTGGCTTAAAATAGTGCAATACATGACAGTGGAACTGAAAATGGAGCTGATGCTTCGCTTCTACATCATTGCAGTCTGTAATTTTTCCGGCTTCATTAGCCAGTGTTGCCTTACCCAATGCTCAGCCTGCTGGCGATCCTGACGTTCGTTTCGTCTGCTGAAGTGATTATTCGCTTGACGGTTCTTTCAGCAAAAATCGTTGGCAGGGCAATATTTATTTCGAGATTTCCTTAGTAGGTACTGAGCATCAATACCTCGTCCCCAAGGTTGACATATTGTTGAGTTATACATGCAGTTTTCATATAAAAAGCGCATCAACTGTACCTCTCTTGCCAGCCTCCTGCAATCGCGGCGCCGTCTCTTTCCCCGAAATTTTATTCCTTGATATTTCCATGCAATTTGTAATATAATATGGAATGTGAAAATCATGTATTTTCTAAAATAATTTTGTGTGGAATGTCGCCTTTGCTGCCTTCCTTATTCCGATTCGCCCTCTTCCCGCTCGTCTTCCCTACAGTTTAATCGTAACTCGCGCACACTGAAGTGCTATCTTTTCCGCTTTGTTTTGAAGTTTTTTTTGCTGCATTCCGGCGTGCTCATTTCGTGCATCGAAGGTTTTTCTCCGTTTTCCTTCACCTCCCTCCTCCTAAAACTATGTGTCCTATTCCATTATGCTGTTCTGTTTAGTTCTGTCAGTTTCTACGCTCAGTGCATTGCTGCTGAGTATTCCCAGCTCCTGTCACATTCTGTTGGGAATCTCAACTTTATTTTCATTTTTTCGATCCTAACTTCGGCCCAGCCCGCTTCCCCCTCCCCCCGTCAACATTCCTCTTCCCTTCCGAAGCACAACAACCTCATTGGCTTTTCTGAGTGCCCTTCGGTATACTATACCTCCTGTCTTTTCCAATTTAGTATT